TGAATGACGTTCGAGATATAGAAATTTGACTAGTCAGAGAGGTACGTTTGTCGTTCTTTTTCGAAGACAAACTGGTTGTGACATTTCGCCAGTTACAAAAACTGGATGAGTCTGCTTGCACATGCACATGAACACACCGTTTGGTTGGCACTCGAGTTCGCGAGGACACGATCGTATCTTCCGTATACCAAATCTTAAAAGCTTATAGATGTTGTTTTTTTTTTGCATAATAAACCTTCTTTATAGTTTGTTGTCCCTCAGTTGTTTGAAGGTTTACTCCACCGTCGTACCGTATGAATCCCCGCTACCTACCGTACACATCAGAAACAATGGAGGTGCTGAGAAAGGTGAGGGAATCAACAGAGTAGAAGCAGCAAAAGCTGGTTTACAGATTCATCCATAGAAATAAAGTGAATGATGAATTTATCGATACGACGAAGCAGGAAATATTTCTTTGGAAGCCTGATCGAAAAATACAAATCGAACGCTTATGCATTGAAATTTAGGCACATGGAAAGGTGAAGCATAAAAGATCTTAAAATCTAGAGGAACTCAAGCAAAGATTCGACAATCTGTGGTGAATTCAAGCAGCCTTACGAATGATGATCTAGCCATGGAATAGTGCTCAACTCTATTCCATACAAAAATCCTAGTCTTCCTCTCACATGCAACATAAACCTTTGCAACAACGGAAAACGATGAAAGAACGGTTTTTATAGCACAAAGGCATACCGAAAGAAGGACGTGTCGAATTTCCTAGAGGAAGAGTGTGACCAATGAAGATGAAAAGACGCCAAACAGATGATGTCGTCAAAAGCATATATCGAAAGAAACAATTTTTGACTGGAAACGTGGCAAGATGCGGATAATAGAGAAACGTCAAGGTTGGCAGAGTGGTACCACCGAGGATACAAGCGCCCTGTTGGGCTACGAGATGAGGTCTAACCAGGAAGGTCTTTCAGGGCGTGACGAGCTTTTTGAAAACGGTCTTTTGCATGATATAGGGGCAGATGCGGGGAACCACACAGAACCATGTTCAATTTTTCCCTGAACGGCCCTCTGAATACCAGAAAAGGAGGTCCCTAGTTCGATTCCTCGTGGTAACAAATTTTTGCATTTCGAGTTGACGTGCCAAAATTCGCGCAAAATGGAGTTAGAACCAACCAGAACAATCAGAACTCCATTTTGCGCGAATTTTGGAACGTCAACTCGAAATGCAAAAATTTGTCACCAAGAGGAATCGAACTAGGGACCCCCTTTTCTGGTATTCAGAGGGCCGTTCAGGAAAAATTAAACATGGTTCTGTGGTCCCCGCATCTGCCCCTATATCATGCAAAAGACCGTTTTCAAAAAGCTCGTCACGCCCTGAAAGACCTTCCTGGTAGTATAGTGGTAGATAGAGCGGACAAGGAGACATCAGTGCATGCGCAGCATTCAAGGATGGTGCAGGGCGGGTAGACGAAACGAATGGCCTCGGATTTGGAGAGATGGAGAAACGTTCGGAGGCAAATCACGCGAAAGGTCATACTTATGAGCAACACGTTGCAATCGATTCCCTGTTTTTCAACTTGAGGATCAATCAAAAAAGTCTTTGTCGATTTCGATTGAATACGCCGCAATTGAAGGCATGAGCAGCAGAGATGAAGAGTTCGCCTGTAGGACATCAATCCCACCAAATTTTCACACTTGGTGTGTAGCCTGCTATTTCTAAGCAAAATAAAATCCCAAAAAGTAGAGAAATAGCACGAAACAGAGTTTACCTTCCGGTGTACTGAGCTTGAAGTACTGGCAGATGCAGTAAATCAATATTTTTTGATCTCGGACAATTAGATATGTACTTGGAGACACCCTATATCCTTGGGCAAGCTAAGAAAGGTACATGATGACATCTCTAGGGAATCATTCGAACGCTAGGTTTAAATTATACCAGCATACCTCGTGGAGTAGTCAGTAATAAATTGCTCAATTCGGACACATATATCTAAGGTGACGAGGACGACTAGATCATATGTTATAAATATGTGTATAAGCCGCATCTGATCACGATGTATATTAGCCTTTCACTTAACTGTGCACTTACCAAGGAGAGAAAAAATTTCAAGCTCTCTTTTCGCAACACGTTCAGTTGAGCGCAGGTTCTTTTAACGGTCGTGCAGGACGGAAGTCCTCAAACGAACAGAAATTGTGCAGGTTACACCGTATTCTTGAGTTTTAGAACCAGTCTTGCAGTATCTTTAGCGTCCGATAAACGTGGCATTGCTTCCGACAGTTCGTTATGTTTTATTTTACTATGCTTTTTTTTGCCTTGCTTTGTTTTCGCTTTGAAGTGTTGTTTTCTTAATTCCTATTCTACTGTACATGCGTCTTGCATGTAATAAATAAATGACATGAGTACCAAAAATACCACGCAGTAAAAAGGATCGTAATCCAATACAGTAACATGGCGAAGAAAAAGTTTACTGTGTGCTGCATAAGTAATCTATAAATATAGTTTGCACAACAGATATGCTTTTAGCCACTTTCACCAAGGGTTCAACCCTACGTTGTTACTAGTAACAACGGGGGGTCGTACCTGGTTGAGTTTATAGGAGGGGGGGGGGGGTCGTATCCGCTTCAGTCGCGTGAAAGCACATGTGAGTTGTGGTGAAAGTGGAGTTTTCACGAGTAGTAGGCTAGGTGAGTTGGGAGCGCATGGCGGTGAAAAGTGCGCCGTTGCACTTTTTAGAAAATGGCAGCAGTGCGATTTATGGTTAGAGTGGGGAGTTGGGTAAAGGAAAATTTAGGGAATTTGGGTTAAAGGAATTCTAATGGGAATTTGACGTAAGCGGAGAATTTTTGCTTTAGAGTACCCCCCTCCCCCGCTTCGACATTCTCTTGGAGGGAAAGTGGCGGAGAGTTGGATGAGCAGGTACAGAATTAGATATGGGGTTGGAGGTCGAAAAAAGGGGGTGTAGAAGTCACCCTATGGGGGAGGGGGTTCGTAAAAAAATTTGAAAAAGAGTAGCTTACGGTAGGAATGACTGATTGCCAGAGAAAGTCCTATGAGAGTTTCTTGAAGCGAAAAGATCATGATAAGACTCGAGGAAGACCAATGCTTCCAAATAATGGAATGAATCAAGTTAATGAATACAGAGAGAGAAGGAAACAAAAAAAAAACACTTTTTTCCCACATTCAAATATAAATTAATCACACTTTGCCAAATTCAGATCGGATGCTTTCAGCACATGCTAATTCTCCTATTAAACGATTTACAGAGTAGACTTCTACACGAGCGACGTCAAAGGAATTTGCCACGGGAACGAACATCGCGCGAAGTTCGGGCTCAGCGAGTTCTTTGACGGGTCACGGTGTGAATTGCTACCGGCAGAGGTCTTACGTAGTAAGAGAGACCGTCCCTAAGAAGTTGTCCACCATCGATTGAGGAATTATGTCTCAACATCAGGCAAGACTGGATTAACTACGATAAGCCTACCTTAGGCCGACGGCGCTGGTTGATTTAGTATGCTTAATCGGTGAAATCAGTTGACATGAGGTCTTGCTTATGGAGTGAGATCGGATAATGATTGCCATAACGCTTCTATCAACGGTTTCGTCTGAGCGTCGAAACGTTTGCTGATGTGCTTCATGAATTAAATCCCCCTGACATCTACTAAATAGACGCTCTGAAAGAGAGGAAGCCGTGCCTCTGCTAGTAAAAATCAATGAATTTTGAATCCTATTTCTAACAGGCGATTGAGGTGCTAGCCGTAATGTAGAAAACGTGATTCCGGGCATTTTACGATCTTCGCTTTGTTCTGCGTTATCGTTATCAAACTCGCCTCCTGGTCAAATTCTACTTTTACAGTGCATCGTCTATCAAGGGCATACATCCCACCCTCAAGATTTTGCTTGTATTTTCCTTTTGTATGTGAATTATACGCTGTATTATACTATGTATTTGTATTCTGTATACAAGCTCTTCTGAGCCCTTCCTCGTTTTCTCAGTGTTTCCTCCCTCGTTGCTCCGCCCAATATTTCCTTGCCGTAGGCTCGCACAAAGTTCAGTTTACATACTGGGCCCATATCCTTGGGTGGAGAATGGCAAATGGGAACATGTGTGGGTGGAAGAACGTCGACGAAAACGGAAACTGCTTACCCACCTAGGAATCTCATTCTCATTTCAACCCTTTGGGCCCTGGCGTGGCAATTGCCACATCAAATTCAAATGTCTGCATTACCGCTGCAACAGCATATTTCCCACTGCTAGAGGTTACTTCAGACGACCTTCCCCTTCCTAATTATGCTTTGAACCCGCCATTTTTTTTGTGTTGCTGTTAGCATTACAAGTATTTGTGTACAAGTGCATGAATCGGCGCTGGTCTCAGCAAGCTGCTAGGTAAGTGTCAATCATTTCTAAAATACTTGACATATATTCATTCTGTTATCAAAATGTTAGGTATAATGTTGTGCAAGATCATGAACTTTTTCGAGATGACTAAGAAATTTGGAATTGTTTCGACATGCTAAAACAATCTCAAGAAGCTGTTGCCATTTGAAGCTTCTTATATTCATGTTTTCACAAGTATAACAATAGCAAGAAGATGACTCTCCCATGAAAAAACTTAGGCTTGAAAGGGTTAGCTTATGATTGTGAGGTACCATCACTATATCATGCACAAACCGTTTTCGAGAAGGCGAGAACCTTCCCTGAGAATCTTTCGAGGCTCCTGGCGCGAACCTTTATTATTGCTACACGCTCCAACGAGCTGTTTCTCAGGAACCACTGCCTATTCCCATTATGGAACTTCCATCTGGCTATACAGCGACAAAATTTCAAGTGCTTGTTAGTTTGCCTAATCCTCTTCTAATCCGACCTCATTTTCTGAATTTTTCAAAATGGTCCTTTGGAACATATCTCACGCGCCTCGAACTACTTTCGAATTTCTTATAAGCAGGCGACAGTTCTTTGCGTTGAAGGCATCGCTAGTGTACACGGTGACATAGAAGGAATTTATCATACCTTTGTGAAAATATCAACCAAATTAGTATTCAGCATTCTACATTCGCAGAAAATTTCCAGCATTATATTATATTTGGCAGCAAAATTGAAAATTAGAAGACGCTTATAGACCACTTAGAGCGTGATAACGTTATCCCCTCTTCACAACATGGTTTCTGTAAAGGACAGTCAATGGAGACTCCTTTGTTCACTTCCTTAAACGATTGGACAAAGGCAATCGATCAAAGGGAGATGTTCATGAAGTGTATTTTGATTTCGCGAATGCTTTCGACCGACCGCCTATTACACTGCTTGAATAAGCTCCAGTACGTTGGGTTTCACCATAGAGTTATTCAATGGGCCACGCTTTTCTGCTTGAGCGGAGGTATCGAGTTCGCATAGGTGCTGCTTTATCCAGTCATTATTTGGCCAACAGTGATGTGCCTCAGAGCAGGGTCAACCGTCCGTTGGACAAAGTCCAACGCATGGCTCTCTAGCGTGTGAGAGTAATGCCGAGAGTGAACGTACGCACGGAGACACAGACGGCTCGCGCAAGGCGAGTGCGAATGCCGGCGCGGAGAGCGGTCAACGTCGGTCCAACGTCGGTCCAATGTCGGTCCAACGTGACGGTTGACCCTGCCTCAAAAGGGCTCAAAGGGGTGTATTGTTACTGTTTTTTTTCACATTACTATTTTCGGTGTATGCGTGTGATTTGCCCAATTTGCTTTTGAGTTTGGGAGTGTTCTGCCTAATGTATGCTAATGACATCAAGATCTATAATGTTGTTGAGAATCAGAAAACTGTAGCAAGCTCCAGGTTGCGATTGACTGTGTTGTGCCTTGGTCTGTTAGGTGCGGTTTGCCTCTCTCATGCCAGAAACCATCACTTTTGGTATTGTTAGAACTTGTACCTGGATTATCAGGTACGATCAAAGGAGCTACAATATGTTTCAGAAGTCCGACTTCGGCTTTAGATCCGACAATAAGTTTGGATTAGATAAGCATTACAAAGACGTAATATCAAAACCATGTTCAGAATTAATGAACTTTTGAAAACGCTCTGTTCTAAGGATTTGCGAACTCCTTGGATTGGAGCGTATAAAATGTACGTCAGACCAACTTTTGAATCTGGCTTTACAGTGTTTAGTCCGTTCAAAAAGAAAAACATAAGTTTACTGGAAACCATCCAGAATTGCTTCACGCGGAAACTTGCTATGATTTGCTCCGGATTGTCCTATTATTCCCTTGTGGTATCGAACGTCGCTGCTTTTTTTCTCTTCCTAGCTTGCTGACTAAGCGAAAGCTTGGCAATCTTGATGGCATTTAAGATCCTAGCAGGTAAAGCAGCGGTGGACTCCCACGACTTCTTTGACTGCGTTATAATAGAACCAGTTTAGCTCCGCACGCAACCGCGCGCATCACATGGTGGGCTTTAGTGAAACTGGACAACTTGCAGAATATTAGGTCACGTGGCTGAGAAACTAACAGTAAGATGTTTGGAAGATGTGTCACATGAATTTAAAGGTTGTCCAATTTTGCTGAAGATTGTCGCGTAATGCGCGCAGTAGCATGCGGAATGAAAATGGTACTTATCATGACTTCGTAAACATTTAGCATTGATATCGAGCTCGGATGATTTAGCGGTTTATA